ATTAACTTTCTTAGGAAATCTGAAGTCAAAATAACAAATGTCCAAAAATGTAGAGATGAAATATTATAATTTATTACATGTAGTTACGACTCTTTTTGTAATACTAAACATGAAAAATCATGTTGCGGCCATTGCAGCTGAAGCACTGAGCAAAACAAAAATTAAATCTGTATCATAAATCTGATGGTTGTCATTAGAAATCAGTTAAGTTATAAAAACAGGAGAATTTTAAACCCAAAGCACCACACAGTGATACACACTATAAAGGGAGCATAGACTTACATGTACAACTTCCACAATTTTCTGAAAGCACAAACCCATACACTTTACATTATTCAAGTGAGTTATAAGACTTCACAAGTTAGCCGTGAAATTACACCCATGTCCAATACACACAAAAAAAGTCAGGTCGACTGTTCATGAGATGGGTTGCAATAATCCAACTCAGAACGAGTTGTATCTTGCGACAAAACCTCTGGTGTGTTGGGTTGTTAACCATCTTAGTCGATCAGACTCAGTTCAGGTGTACTGGACAACCCTCCAAAATGAGAATGTTTGACAAACATTCATTCCTTTAACCCTTTGCATTCCAGGACGACCACCATAACTTTCTCTTTACTGACAAATCTACATTGTTGATGAAAATAATGGATTTAAACTAGGAGACTGATATCATAGTGACAAACTACTGTACCCACGTTTCTCAAAACTTACAGTGTTCAATGGAAATTATGTACGGCAGAAAGAACCACTATCTTGAGCTAATAACTGAAAGGATTATGATTAAAATTCACTCCTGTTTGTTGAAAAATGTCTACACCAATCTTTTCCCGCTTTACCACTTCTTCTTATAGTCATCGACACTGACACCACCTGGACCAAGGGCAACAACCAACAGCAATCCACCAATTACAGAAGTGGTCTGGAAGAAATCGTACTTGAGGAAATCTCTCAATGGCGACTGTGAGTGGTACATCCACCAAGGATTCATATAGACATTTATAATGGTGAGCAAAAGAACTAACACCAAGGATGCAAGTTTGGTCTTGTATCCCACAGCAACTAGGACCATCAGAATTGTACCTACTACATCCTGCAAAATGTAGACAAAAGAAAACCTAAACTTGATGAGGGTTGCAAACATGAAGCCAAGAAGAACTCGTCCAGTGAGCTGTAGGTATGTTTTCGGAGTGTTGCCACCCAAGGATGGTACGCCTGCAAACAAGCTCTTTTGCTCAGAACGTGACTCAGCCAGAAGAAGTAACAAGGCACCAGCAAGGGCAAGGTTCCTAGAGAAGAGAAAACAGGAAGTTAAAAATATATGTAGATATTGTTCCTTAGTTTCTGTAATTTCTGTGCATCTTCAGATATGATCTGCAATCTTGGACAAAATAAATGGAACATCTGGACCACCCCTNATTTATTATGCTGTTCGATTTCTGATTATGATGAATGGGCCCAATGCAATAACCTTAAATGGAAAGCGAAACGTGATCCGATCCGTCCACTGGTAAAATTTTCAAACGACGCTGAATGGGAAACGAATATTTTTATTCCTTCCACAAATTAAAGCGGGTCGACGACTAAACAACAATTCTCCTCCAACTGGTTAAACATGTTATAAAAGAAATAAAAAAGAGGGCGAAAAGGATGAAAAATAAAAGCACAAGTAATACTGTGAATTGCTTACTTGAACTACAATAACAGACGACAACATTCCCACGGCGATTTCAACTTTCTGTCTCGATAAGACCATAACACAACCCGCTAACTGCGCAACTAAATTGTAAAGCACGAAAAGCGTTCCAAGCACATAGCCACAGTGCCACGTCTGGTCCATGTAGTCACGCTGTTCATCCCACTGGAACCACATCCGAAATCCATCTTCGAAGAACGTCGAGATCAGACAAAACCGCGCGAAATGAGGGAGCACATGTTTGCTGTTACGAAGAATCTGATCGGCGACGTCTTCAGCCTTGCTGATGTACTCACTGTAAGGCGACGATCCGGCCTGAGAAGACGACTTAGCCATCGTGTTCGACACCAAAAGAAAGGAATAAGATATGGCGGTCACGATGTATCCGCGCTATAGGACTGTAGACCATAATACGCTACGGGATTGTGCCACGTACGCTTTACATGTGACGTCACAGACGGAAGCCAGTATCCTTCCGGTCTTGAACATTTTGAAAGAGGCTACCAACTACGAACACCTGCGCTTCTTTCATAACATTAAAATAAAACAAGAGAAAATTGCATGCAAAAGATGTCATTTAGTCGACAACTTATTCCATACACAAGACAATATTCTAATTATATGACAACCTTGTGCAAATAGAGAAACATTTTGATTAGTTGCTGTTCCCTAATGGCAGTAATGGGTCTGAATTTCGCAACACGGAGCTCCGAGACATTAAATGCCATTTGGAAATCTTTTCGTTAAAAAATACAAAGAAAAAAATACTTTTTAATAAGCTTTTTATTAAGCCAAAATCTTGATTTGTAATACTTATTACAATATAATGACCCGGCAACATGCTAGGAATTACAAATAAACAAGAACTTACCCCTCAAATCTTATTGTCTATCTCTAATAATAGTACGAATGCTAACAATCAAGACAAGATACTAAGCTAGTCTGGTCAAAGGGTTTATTACTTGGAGTTTCGAGCAAGCGGTGAAGTCGCACATGTTTCTATTTAGCTAGAGAAATGAACTTATCCGGTGCACACGATCTAGGAGCCGCTACTGCTCAGATTAGAAGGCAAAGGGATCTTTAGAAAGCAGTGAGAATATCATGAGTTAGCAGGGTAAGTGAGAGGTTGAGAGCTGGTTTGAATTTTAACCCAGTTACTAACAGAAACTTCGCTCCTCCCAGCTTTGTGGACCAGTTGGCTTGGTTGAGCAGGACTTATGACAAACGAGACAATCGGATGGATCAGAATTGAAAAGTCCTACTGGTATTCAGTCTCGCACTCATACTAACTCTAGTTTTGGAATGCATTCCCACGCAGACTGAAGGGCCATGACAAACATGATCCCCCCCACCCCAACACCGCCTAGACCCTACCCTGAGGCCTCGTCCACAATTGGTCGGAAAAATTTGAAAACGAGTTTATTTCTACGGTTAGGCCTATAGTCCACCCTAATCCGTCACGAAAACAGAGATTTTCTTAAACGCTCTTCAAATCGGAGGAATTTGAAAACATCGGCTTTGCGTTTTAGTGTGGACGGAAAAAGAATTTGAAAACGGAGCTTTTATTTGTGTAAACGATGCAGTCACGATACTCATGTGATTTCCCTGTGCGAGTTTTTTTTCAAACAAAAACCCTAAATGACTGATGATTGTTGCGTTTTTAAATTCCTCTGGCGTAGTGCGATTCGTTTTCAGAGTAAAACCTCCATTTTTAAATTCATCCGGCATAGTGTGAACTGTGGATGGCCTAGAAAATTGCATTAGATGATATAAAGTGGGAAAAAAAATTAAGCACGTGTGATGTGTGATCGTTCACATTACTCACGAATTTTAACAACGTTATGCTTATGATTTGTGCTCAAAAAACTCTCCCAATTATAGCTGAAAGATGGGTAACTATTTACCTTAATGACGGTCAACAAAGTGAAGAGAATGCAATGCCAATTTTCCGTGAAGTTGCTTGTGTTTAAAATTCCTAAAAAAAAATACAGAATAACATAAAAAAGTACCAACAGATAAACCTCGGCTTTTCTATAAATGCGTAACTTTTATTGTGACACACGCTTTATAGCTTTTGGATTCTCTTGCAAAATTATGTCGGCAACATTTAAAATTTTGTTTTGCTTTCGGATTGCTCAAAATAACGCGCGCGTAAATGCGCGAGCGCGACCACGATAGTCGTGAGGGCTTGGAGACAAGAGAGCCTGTCGTAACCAGTGGCAACATGGGACATTACAAAGGAGTGAAAAACATGGCGGATGACAATTTAGAGTTTGACCTTGTAAATATTTTGGAAGCCTTTTCTTGTGTTAACTTTTCGGACCATCAACTACTTACGTTATTTTGATTCACTAATACTTTTCACTCTTCAACTGTGAGGATGAGCGTCTCCACAGCGGTGAAACCAAGTGAATCACCGCACATTTCTCCTGGGGAAAGTTCTACGCGAGCCTCTAGGACCAAAAACAAACTTGCAAAGACTCCTAGTACACCGTGTGTTTTGCCAATACTCGAAGGTGGAAAGCCTCATACGGAGGAAAAAAGACATGAAATCGTTGATTTAGGTGGTAGAAGCGATATCTTGGACCGAGATAAAACGTTTCTAACAGGAATTAATGATTTCATTCCCGATGACATTTTGAACAGTTTGACACAGAATCCCACTCCGCCTTCACGGGAACAGCTAGGACCGCCAACGAAACATAAAAAGCTAAAACCTCTAGAGGTAAGCCATAGTTATAAGCGTATTGTAAGGGTAGTGTTGGTAGAATAAGTAGCGCTAAAACGTGTTTAGAAGCGGTCAGTGTAACATGTAGACTGCAGACCAGGGATAAAATGCAGACTGCGGGTAAAATGCAGACGGCAGACTAGAGTCTTGTTAACTATATATCGTATTATTTCCATTATGGATTGCTAACCGTAAACAGGGTTATTCAGACTAATTGTTTTAGTGGAAGGCTACACTCCAGTTAGCCTGAATATCACCCCAGTTAGCCTGAATATTACACAAGGTAGTCTGGAAAATGCTCTGGTTACATGTAGCCCTGTTATGTTTAGCTCTCAGTTATGGAAATGGTAAAATAAACATGAGTCAGTTAAAAAGTCTGCATTTTACCCCTGGTTTGCAGTCTGCAGTGAGGTGTGGTGGCTTCATGGTACATGTACATATAAGTGCACTACACTCCAGATCAAGCAGTCTGGGTTTTAGCTCTGGTCGGGGACATCATGTTGTGTTAATAGGAAAGACACTTAACTCTCACGGTGCCTTTCTCCACC